TACAGAATCATTACCCTAAAGACAACTACATTTGCATACCTCAGCAACAGTTAGAAAATATAATATTTAAAAAAGATTTATTTATTTATTTTAGAGAGAAAGAGAGCATGCATGAGCAGGAGAGAGAGCAGATGAGGTAGAGAGAGAATCTAAAGCAGACTCTGTGCTGAGCATGGAGCCCGACGTGGGGCTCAGTCTCACAACCCTGAGATCATTACGTGAGCCGAAATCAAGAGTTGGATGCCCAATTGAACTACCCAGGTGCCCCTGGAAAATGTAATTTTTAAAAGATGCCATTTTGGGGTGAACTAGATCAAGAGGATTAAGAATACACTGACGATGGTGAGGACTGAGTAACATATAGAATTATTGAATCATATATAGTACACCTGAAGCTAATATAAGCTAATATAATATTGTATATTATATTGTTATAATTGTTAATTGTACTTCAATAAAAAATGCCATTTAAAATAACAACAATATAGGACACCTAGGAATAGATCTATCAAAAATTGTGCATATCTATTGTAAAACCTTATTGAAAGACATTGAAGATGACCTAGTTAAGTGGAGATACGTACTATGATTATGATTACTATATCCAATATTGAAAATATGCTGATGCTCTTCAAACTGATCCACAGATTCAATAAAATTCCAATAGGATTTTTTTGTGGAAGTTGATGAATTGATTCTAAAATTATGTGGAAATTTATATGGAAGAGTAAGGGCTAATAATAGCTCTCACTCTTGAAGAAGAACCAAATACCAAAAAAATCAATTCAAGACAAATAGAGACTTAAATGTGAAAGGAATAAAACCATAAAACTTAGAAGCCAATATATATAGGAAAATATCTTTATGACTTTAGGGTAGGGAAGAATTTCTTAAGACACACAAAAAAGCAGAAAATGTAAAGATAAATAACTGATGAAGTCCACTACATTAAATTTAAGAACTTATGTTTTCAAAAAAGACCATTAAACAGATGAAAATTTAACCTCCAAATTAGGAGAAGATTTGCCAAACGTATAATCAAAAAGAATTAGTACTTGGAATGTATAAAGAACTTCTAAAGATCATAAGAAAAAGACAAACAACTCAACTGAAAGTTGGACAAAGGGCATGATTTAGGCATTTCATAGAAGAGAGAACACAAATGATTCATAAAAGTATGAAAAGATGCCTCATTTTCAATCAGGGTAAGACAAATTAAAACCATAATGAGATATTATTTCATACTCACTAGACTGGCAAAATTATTAAGCCAAGTGATGGTGAGGTCATGGAACAACGTGCTGCTGGTTAATGTGCAACTTGGTATGACCGCTCTGCTTTACTCAGTGAAGTTCAACAACATGACCCAGCGATTTCACTTCTAGATATAAACCTTAGAAAAATATGTTTTTTACACGTGCACCAGCCAGCAAGTATAAGAATGCTCATAGCAACACTGGCCTTAAAGGCAGGAAACTGGAAAAAAATTAATATATCCACCCCCTATAAATGGATAAACCAACTGAAGTATGTTCATGCAATGGAATAGCTGTAAAAAATGAATGAATTCTGGCTGGAACCATCATCAAAGGTAAATCTCAAAAACATGAGGCCACCACATAAGGCTGTGATTGCAGGCTGTGGCAATGGGTCCAGTAGGCACTGCAGTCTATTCTATGCTCCATGTGCCAAGCTGTACACACTGGCACAGGGATGCCTATCCCTGAAGGGAAGGGTGTCTTTTTAATTTTTTTAACTGCACAAAGACCCTCTATAGGTTAGCTCTGGTCCCACAAAATCATAAGGTTGAATAGAAAGACAAATCAGAGAAGTACATACATTCTGTATTATTGTATTTCTATGAAGTGTGAAACCAGGTAAAACTAAACAATAATGATTCATATATATGTGGTAAAACTATATAGAAAAACAAGAGAGTGATTAACACAAAATTCAGAATAGTTGGTTATTTCTTGGGAAAGGGGAAGCATCCAGTTAGGAAGGGTTCATGATGGGTTAGACAGCTCTAAGATAGATAATATTCTATTTCTTTGGCTGAGTAGTGGGTACTCGCGTATCATGTTGTCATTCTTTATCCTTTACACGCCTGTTTTTTTTTTTTTTTTTAAAAACCTCCTATATATTCCACGTAATGATTTTAAATAAAAGGCACTCCACCCAAGAGTACTTACTGCCTGAGGAGAAGGGCTCCCAACAAAAGGTTTGGACAGGGTAGCTTGCCAAGGGGCCCAGAGCTGAGGGTCTGAGTCCTAAGTAAGCCACAGGAGGGGAGACGCTGACTGCCTCATGTGCAATGAGGCGGGAGGACCTCAATGGGATGCGTCAAAAGTGCTTCATGAAAAAGCAAAACCACAGCAAGATGGGGCACCTGGGTGGCTCAGTCATTGGGCGTTTGCCTTTGGCTCAGGTCATGGTCCCAGGGTCCTGGGATCGAGCCCCGCATCGGGCTCCCTGCCCTGTGGGAAGCCTGCTTCTCCCTCTCCCACTCCCCCCATTTGTGTTCCCTCTCTTGCTGTCTCTCTCTCTGTCAAATAAATAAATCTTTAAAAAAAAAAACACACAGCAAGATATGACTATTAGAATGAAAACGTATGTCCATATAAAAACTTGTACACACTTGTACACAAAGGTTCATAGTAGTATTATTTACAATAACCCAAAAATGGAAACAACCCCAATGTCCATCAATTGATGAATGGGTAAATAAAATGTAGTATATCTCCAAGTGGAATATTATTCAGCAATAAAGGGAATGAGGTATTGATAAATGCTACAGCATGGATGAACCTTGAAAACATGCTCAGTGAAAGAAGCCAGTCACAAAAGACCACAGATTGTGTGATTTCATTTATATGAAGTGTCTAGAAAAGGCAGATCTGTAGACAGAAAGTAAATGAGTGGTTTCCAGGGGCTAGAGGGAGTGTTTGTAGGAGAATGAAGAGAGACTGCTAACAGGTATAAGGTTTCTTTTTAGGATGATAAAAATGTTCTAAAATTGATTGTGGTAATGGATATACATCTCTGTGAATATACTACAAACCAGGGAGTTGTACACTTTAAATGGGTGAATTATGTGGTCATGTAAATTATATCTCAATAAAACTATAACTAAAAAAAAGAAAGGCTAAACTTTTTTAAAAATTGGTAATACCAACTATCAGTGAGAATACAGAGAAATTGGAAAATTTGTACATTGCTGTGAGACTGCAAAATGGTAGAGCCGCCTTGGAAAACAGTATAGCAGTTTCTTGTAAAGTTAAACACATTCTATACCGTATGATCTAGCAATTCTATACCTAGGTATTTACCCAGGTTAAATGAAAACCTATGTTCACACAAGTCTGCATACCAACATTTATAGCGACTTAATTTTAATTGCTCCAAAGTGCAAACAAGCCACATTTCCCTCTGTGAGGAAATGGATAAACACACTGATACATCCACATGGAACACTATGCAGTAATAAAAGGAACTAACAACTGATGCAGACAACAGCAAGGATGAATTTCAAATGCATTGTGTTAAGTGAAATAAACCAGACTCAAAAGGCTGCATGTTATATGATTCCATTTACATGATGGGAAAGGCAAAACTCTAGAGACAGAAAACAAACCAGAAGTTGCCAGGAATTAGAGACTGGGAGAGGTGCTACATATAAGGGGACAGGGGGACATTTATTGGTGTGATGCACTGTTCTAGATCTTGATTGTGGTGGTGGTTACAGGACTGAATGGGGTCATTAGAACTCACAGAATAGTATACACAGTATACTATAAAGAATGAATTTTATTGTATCTTAGATTTTACCTTAATAAAAGAAAAATCCCCACCAACCCCCCCGTCCAAATGGTACCATGAGAAAAAAAAATCTCATGGACCAGAGGCCCTGATGCTAGATGAGAATTTATCAGCTACCTAAAATTGTGCTTTTTTTACTTTAACCCCTCTGCCTCTAGGGGAAATGCAGTAGCTAGGGAGCAGAGATGAGCTAAAAGAGTAAAAAAAAAAAGAAGCTGACCTTGTCCCACCACCAGCCTGTCTCCCCCTACCACTATAGGATGGCAGCCTAAAACAGTGCCGGACCAAGGGAGGGGAGAAACTCTCTGTTGTATAAAAACTTGAAGTCTTCCCTTGTTACATTGAGCTGGACATTTGATTGCTAAAATGAAACTGTTCTGGTAACTGAGAGGCCAGAAAAGCTATGGGATTGACCTGAATTCAAACAGGGGCATGGGGAAAGAATCATACCACGGAGGGGATTGGAAGGAACAGTGGCAGAAAGAATAAAGTGATTTTATGATCATCTCCCTGTGGAACCTGGTCTTACTTCAACAGTTAATCATGCGGTCAGTATGCTAATTACAGAGGACTCTTATCCAATCCTTCCACATGCTGAATAGAGAGCTCCTTGTATTCCAAATGAGTGAAATAGTATTATTATAGCTTAACAGAATGTAGAAAGCGGGACCTATTTCCTGATGATCCAGCACCAAGACATATTTCCTGAAAAAGTGAATCAGGCCCACTGTTCAAGCATGAGCAGCAGCAAGGCATGATTTCGTGATCGTAGAGGTAGTCAGATACCACAGACGCCAAATGCTGTAAGATCCCCATTAGAAGGAAAATTTGTCTGCCACGCACATCACTGTAATCCCGGTGCCTAGAACAGTGCCGTGCCTGAGACAGAAGAAGAAAACAGGTTTTGAATGGCTGCATGAATGGAACTCCAAGATGCAAGTAGGAAAATGAGAAACAGGGATGGCTTTTCTTTCTCTGGGCTTGAATTGCAAATTTTATTTAATTGCAATCAGAATGATTTTACAGATCGGGTTTGGGCACCTATGACAGTGCGTTGAGTCCCAACTTAAGAAGAGTAGTGAGCATCACCTAAAGGCAGCTGGTGGAAAGGGGCTGGGCTGGGCCCTGATCTGTAACCATCACTGGAAAGCTCTGTGTATGAAACACAAACTAGAAGAAAATTTTGTTCAAATTCTCCATGGAGAATATTTTTATTTATTTATATTCTTCTTGCATACTCTAAAATGCACAGTGTAAATTTCCTTTCCTCAAAAACAGTTGTGAGCCTGGTCAATTTATGGGAGCTCTTCAGAAGGTCTTCGGAAACGTTGCCTTAGGTTTGAGCTAAGCGAGTCACAGAGATTGGTCATGAACTACTACAAAATTACAGGAGATCTAGTTATTATCCAACAGTTACTAGAAAAGCATTGAGAACACCAGACATATAGCCAGACAGAGAGGGTAATAGAAGAGCAGATGCTATTTAAGTCATGGGATTTCCATACAGATGATTCTATGTACAGTATCAGAATTCTCTTACAGACAGTAAACTTATGCTTTGATCATTATTTTAAGGGCACTCTAATATAAATACAAGTCTCACTAATTTTAATCTTTTTTCTTTGGCTCACAAACGCACGAAAATACCATAAACAGTTTCCCGAACTTACTGCATTAATATATAAATAAGATACATTACAAATGGGGAGAAAATACAAGACGCCTCTTTAGCATGGTAAATCTCTGAATATAAATAAGCAATTATTTCATTTACCTACAATTTAAACAGTTGTCATTTACCTACAATTTAAACAGTCATTGAAATCATTACATGTGTTCTTCCCCTACCCCCCAAAGGTCAGACAACAGAAATATACACAATCTACACAAATTAGTCCCCCAAAATACAACAACAGCACACCTGTAACAATGACTCTGCTATGATTTTCCCCTAACAGGATACTAATGGAGAGGGTGTGACTCTTGTCACCTAGTGGTACTTCGTTTCATCTGTCATCACCTCAGGTAGGAGAAACACTGACAACGAGGTCAACTCTCGCCAACAGGATGTCCCTTGGTCCCTATGACACAACATCTTGAAAAACATCTTTCCTGGGATTGTTGGGCAAGCTGGTTTGCAGCATGTTTGGCCCCTCAGTAACTGCTGAAGGTAAAGTTAATTCTCTTGGAGTGGGAGACATGCTGTGATCTATCACCAAGCCACACTCACGATGATACATACATATACATATAGAGAGAGACGTATATATAACTGTACATATATACTGTGTTCCTAATGGGCAACTTTTTAAAAAGAACATTATTTCCTACTAACTATAACAAGCTTAAGTAAGGTTTAAACAGTATTCTTTGAGATATTATGTTTCCCCTCAATGAAATAGCCTATGTGGTTTAGCCATTTATAGAGGTTGTTCTAGAGTGCCAGAAGGAAAAGGAATTCCCATAAACTCATGTTCTGTGGAGGGCAATTACAGATCCTGGCCCAGTCTTTCTATCTCCTCAATGAGGAAGTCAATATCAGACTGCGTAGCGGCTGGGTTCGAGATGACCATCCGGAAAAAGTTGGCCTTGTCCCCCTGAGGCTGGTAGCCAACCATGGTCGTGCCAGACTCCATCATCAGCGCTTTGATTTTGGGGGCCACCTTGTGATGGAAAACAAAACAAAACTCAAGACCAACATTAACACCACTCTCTTCTGAACAATGCAACCCATTTCTTAGTTGGAAAAAAGAGCCATTTGCTTTTTCCCATCTGTATCCATACTGGCACGAAGGCAAATACTTTATACCTGAGTTTCTTCAGGGGTTAATGTCCAATGACTGAGACTACCCAATCATAAATTCCCTCAGAAACTACTGTGCGACTGAATTTTGAAAGTCAGTCATAGAACAGTGCTAAAATAAAAAACAAAAACAAAAAACTCTTATAGGCTGCAACACAAATTAAGGCTTCTGAATAATCCAGAACCCAGGATCTTGTCTGGCACATAGAGCTGTGCTCAATGAATATTTGTTAGATGAATGAAATATTATATAAATTCAATGCTAATACCAACAACTACAAATAATAAACTGGATATAGAAATCAACAACTAGAATGAATCAGCGTTAGAGTGGACTTGAACTTAGTAAAAGACATTTTAATAGACAGAGTTTAATATGGACGTTCCTAGGAATATGTATATCGTTCAACTGTCCTGCATACAGCAACACCAACCTAAAACAGGGATGTGTCCTTTAGAGGTTCCCCCTGTATCTGAATCACAGCAAAGGGACAACCCAGATTCAAAAAGAATATAACAAGATGGCTGCCTACCACCCCAAGTCTTTATTTTTTATTTTTCCTCCATTAGAAGGACACATTAAAGTGTGGATGTTCTGACCAGTTAGAGAAATTGCATAGGGTTAGATGAGACAAGGAGAGATTCCATACCCTGTGTAGTTTTTCCCGTCGTTCAGGGCTATCCGGAATGCCCCTGAGGCTTTGTGGAATATACCAGAAACAGACATTTGTATGCTCAGGCTGCAGAGATTTTCACAAACAAACAAACCAGAAAATTATGAGAACCTGAAAGAAAGTTATTCCCAAACCCCTATGTGCCCTTGGTGGAAGGCTCTCAGACCAAAAAAAATTTTTTTTTCATAAAGGTCTTTAAGTCCATCTTGAAGGCAATGTTACTTCTATACTAGGAAGAACAATGCCTCATTTATCTAGTCATATCTAGCAAGAGAGCTGCTTCCTATAACCAATCTTCTAGATGACCAAAGGTTACCACCTTTTTTTTTAAAAAAAGATTTTATTTATTTTTTGACAGAGAGAGACAGCGGGAGAGGGAACACAAGCAGAGGGAGTGGGAGAGGGAGAAGCAGGCTTCCCATGAAGCAGGGAGCCCGATGCGGGGCTCGATCCCAGGATCCTGGGATCATGACCTGAGCCGAAGGCAGACGCTCAACCGACTGAGCCACCCAGGTGCCCCACCACCTTTTTTTTTTTTTTTTTGATTTTATTTATCTATCTTAGAGTGTGTGTGTGTGTGTGTGTGTGGACGAGTGGGGATAGGGGCACAGGGGGAGGAAGAAGGACAAGCAGACTCTGCGCTGAGTGCAGAGCCAGATGCAGGACTCACACTCACAACCCTGAGACCATGACCTGATCTCACAACCACAAGACCATGACCTGAACCGAAATCAAGAGTTAGCTGCCTAACTGACTGAGCCACCCAAGCACCCCATTCATGATCTCAAAGTTACCACCTTTAAACATTGAAATGTTAAAAAATTATTACATTTGGGTAGTTTTTAAAAAGAGTATTATCCGTCTTGCCATTTTGTAGTACCTCATATATAGAAGAGGCTCAGCACAGTTTATCTGAATACTGAATATACTATGAATTTATTATATTGATACTGAATCTTCTCTTGATGATTCAGGATTATTATAATGGACACTAATACCATGTCTAAACCATAAGATAGGTCTCACTGAGGTGCCTAGAACTCTTTAGTGTCTCTGCTCTAAAACCTCCTATCCTTTTCCAGTTCTTCTGTATTCTTGCCATAATTTTTCAATTTCCTTCCACACTGCTGTTTATCACTCTGCCTGCCTCTACCTGGCTTGAGATATCACATTTGTCTCTAAACTGCTAGAATATTCAAAATAGTGTAAATACTCCAAGTGCAGTCCCATAGGTGAAATGCATGAGCACTGTGTCATTAAGTTGAACTGCTCAGGGCTTTTTCTTCCTTATTGGGTGACCCTCCAGCACATTCCTAATAGTTTAGATTGCCTGTTAAATAGACTAAGTTGAATGTAGGTGGTGTTACACTGGTGTATACTAGCTCCCATTCTAACTTTCTTTATCCAGCTGTGAACTCCATTAAGTCAGACACAGTGTCTGTTTTGGTTACTACTATATAACCTAGTTCATGGCATGGGATCTAGCACACAGCAAGCATTCAGTCAATACTAGTATGACAAGTAGCTTATCGTGGGCAATGTGGATATGAACTCAGGGCAGAAACAAAAAAAATTTTTTTAAGAGAGAGGGGGTATGGGGGAGGGGAAGGGCAGAGGGAGAGGGAGAGAGAGAATCTTAAGCAGGCTCCATGCCCAGCGCATGAGCCTGATGCACAGCTTACACTCACAATCCTGAGATCATGACCTGAGCTGAAATCAAGAGTAGGATGCTTAACCAACAAAGCCACCCGGGTGCCTCAGAGCAGAAACAATTTTACCTTGCTCTCCTCATAATGAATCTATGTAAAGTAGAACTTCATTTTAGAACCAGTCTGGGGAGACAACGTTATACCCATCCTATAAACTTCTTGGAACTGAGAAATACTTTATCATGGAGGTTCGACACAATAATAAGACATACATAGGAAAGATAAAGGATTCAAACATGCCAAGTAAAGAGCTCTTCTCTGCAAAGGGCTGGTCAAGAGCTGTACCATTTTAGAAAAGGCAAAGGGCAAAAGTCATCCCAATGCTATCAAAAGAGAAGTTCATAGACACAGAGGGAAATAAATGAAGAGTACATAAAAATAAAAATTCAGAAGCAGCTTCTGGCAATGTGGGAAAATATGGCTCCAGGAGCATCCCTCATTAGATTTTCTGGAAATGCTGTGTATCTAGTCCATGATGACAACTTACCTCCCCATCAAAAACCATCTCAAATTCTTCTCTGTTTTTAATCTTGGCATAGAGGTATTCAGCCAGTTCCAAGCATTTGTTGATCTGATTTTCAAATCCCACTGTGCCCTGGTTTAGAAAAAGAAAAGTCATGTTGGTTGGTGATGGGTTGCATTTTCCTGCAATGAGCAACTGAGAAAGCTATGCTGACCTTGTCTTTTGGAGTTACACATAAGAGTATTCTTGGAGATGGTTAGGAAGAGCTACCTAATTAAATGAGTACAGTTTCTTCACAGCACCGAAAACAATAAAAGGAAGCACATCTACTCTCTTTGGAAGGTACTCTAGCTCTGGGCAGTTAGTCTCAATAGGACTTTTAGCTTCCTTCTAGTTACTCACAGCCGGGACCTGAAGCCTATTGTTAGTTTGCTTTAGAATAGCGCTACTCAAAGTGTAGCTGTCCACAAACTGTAACTGGCGCATGTAAATGTGAGAACAGAAATGAGATTAAGCAGTAAGAAATTTTAATAGCATTTTGACAGAGTAATTTTATGTCTACTGACTCTAGTTTTAAAAATTGATGTTTGAACTTTATATAGTTTTTTCATTTTTCCAGCAATTCATCATCATTTATTGTATTGGTCCATGATAGGTTAAACAACAACTGGTTCTTCACCACAGAGTTTGTGAAATACTACTTTAGAACCCACCTCCCCAACCGTAAGTCCTAGCCAAGCATGTCCCCATACTCCCTGGCAGGCTACCTTGCACATAACACAGTATTATCTCTTTTCGGTGCCAGGCAGGCAGGCAGGTGGGGAAGCCATTGGTTTGACTACATGCCCTGAGATTGCAGTAGTAGCTCTAGCTATTGACAAACTGGCTGAGCTCAAGTTTCAAAAGCCAGCATGGCTGATTAATAACAGCGGCATGGGGGTTGTTGAGTGGGTCGGTGTTAGCAAGGTGAGCAGATGCACAAGGCTGGCTTGTGGATTGTTAATGGACTTGGGCAGAATCCAACACAGGCAAAGCATGAGCCTCCCCAAGTAGTCACTGCTGAGTGTGATACCTTGGCCAGTCCACTTTCTTACTTTTTTTTTTTCCTTTTGAAAGATTTTATTTATTTATTTGTCAGGCAGAGAGAGAGAGAAAGAGAGAGAGAGGAGAGCACACGTATACAAGCAGGGGGAGCGGCAGGCAGAGGGAGAAGCAGACTCCCCGCTGAGCAGGGAGCCCAATGCAGGGCTCGATCCCAGGACCCTGGGATCATGACCTGAGCTGAAGGCAGATGCTCAACCAACTGAGCCACGCAGGTGTCCCTTGGCCAGTCCACTTTCCACTTGAGAAAGAAGCCCGCACTGGGGTCCCACCTCAGCAACCAATTCACTATGCGCCAAACTCCTGGCAGATGGTTCAGGAGGTTATTGTTAGGCAAAATGAAGACATAAATTACTGATGTAGGCCACATGGTCATTATATTTCTAAATGATAGGGCTCTTTCTCTTGTTGCAATTCATGGTTATTTATATGCTTAAAATACCTATGATTACTTTGTGGTAGAAATCAGACTATTTCTATATTAAGACAAAATGACTTAATGAAGAAGAAAACTAATAATCCATCAAATCCTTCCTACAGAAAAAACATTTGATTAGATGTTTTGCTGGAAAACTTTGTTATTTTGGTATTAGTAGATACAATCTTAAATGTGGAAATTATTAAAATTACTCTACAGTAGGTAAATAAAAACAATGGTTGCATAATAAAGCTGTGAAATCAAAATTGCCTTAGTTGATTGCATACTTTTGAAACAAATAGTCGAAATGGCAATCCTCTCCCTCACCCATATTTAGGGGGAGATTCCAATAGTTTGCTTTTTTTTTTTTTAGACACAGAAATGCAATCCGAAAGGTTGATGAATGCAGATGCAGCATGCCTTAGTCTAGCAGTAGGATTTCTCAGAATAAAGTATGCAGTTTTCCAGAATAGCATATAAAGTACAAATAATGGGAAAGCCATTATTTAAGAGAACTAAAAACTGTCGCATATCTCCCATGATTTGAAGCCTCATAAAGAAATTCAGGGTTCTGCATAGAATAATGCAGTAATTTTATCTCTCTTTCTCTACATCTGCACTAAATAATTTCAGCATCCCTAAGGATTATGGAGAAAGTCCTTATCTTGGCAAAATTTTTAGTTGTTACAAGAGAAAGTTACAAGAAAACTCCATGTTAATTCAAATTGAGGAGACTGAATGGAAGGAGGGAGATTCTGACATAAGGGATAAAGTGATCTCATTTGCAAACAAAGAAAATACAGTTAGCTCAATTATCTAGATATTGATTACACACATATTAAATTATCTGTGATATATCTTTGCCTCTCTTTTGCCAGCCAGCCTCTGCAAATTGCATTTCTGCTCTATGTCCTGAATTCTCTCCTTTGTACCTTTGCTTTCCACATCAGCCAGAACTTGAAAATGTCCACGTGGCGGCCACACTGGATCGCCTTGTCCCCAGTGTCATAGGAGACATCATACTGCTTGTCTGGCTGGAAAAGGTATCCGGCACACATCTGGTTGCATCCTTGGAGTATACCCTATGATGAAAATCAAGACAAGCTTGCATCTGTATTCGTCGGTCAGAGATGTGAATGGCTTTGAAACAGGGCTGGTGGGAAGGAGGGACTTGGGATCGCGTGCAACCTTTCTTCTAATGTCTTCATAAGACCTTGCATTTGTTCTGATATCTTTCTCGAAAACCACCCTTGGAAAAACTTCTGCCCCTTTCTCTCTGTCACTCTGACTAGAAAATGATTTTTTAGTCTCAAATGCTTACAAGAAGGGACCCACCGTCCCCTCTAGGGAGCATTTGGGGTGTTTTGGGTTGTTTCCAAGACTGGGAAGTTCTATGGCATTCAGTGCACAAGGGTTGGGGATATAAACTCCCTGCAGTGGATGGAACAGTCTCATGCTGTGAAGAATTTCCCTCGCCCAAAGTGCCCCCCTCCCCAAGTCTTCTAGACTTTTCCAGGATCTCCTGTAATGTTAACAGACACTCTATTAGGAAAGTAGTAAAGGGCTTGGGCAGGTTCTGGCTCCTACAAGCTGGAGACAGATTTTTGGAATGCCTCAGTGTACACACATTTTATTGGAGCAACAATGCTTTTGAAAGCAGGGTCCTATTATTAGACACTTAAAGAACTAACTTGTTTACAGAAGCTTTTTAGTCAACATTCCTTATTGTCCTAAGTTGACATTTGCAGCTGTTGTTCTGCCTAATTTACTTCAGCTCTTGGGACCACACACGCATGCTAAGAATTTGTAGTATGTTTAGGGAGCACTTTTTGTGTTCACTGAGGTGAGGGTTGGTGGCTCACCCAATGGCGCTCACTTTTGCTTGTACAAACAGGAAGGAATGAGCAATGAAATAACGTCCTTACAGTTTCCGTCACTTAAAAGGCCCTGAGCACCGAACAGTAGGAAGGGCAGTAGAGGGCAAGAGCCAAGAGGAGGCACGAGCTGGCTGTAGGTTCAGAGACAAGGGCAGGAAAGAACTGCAATGGTAGTTTCAATGGGGCTGTCAATCTTGCGTGTTTGTCAAGTACAGGAAACCAAATCCAAAACAGAACGAAAACACGCTTTTCTCCTCTTGTGCCTCGTCAAGGACATTCAGGCTGCCAGCTCATCTTTGGAGGAGGTACAGACCTTTTCCTTGACAAGAATGGCAGAGCACTGCAAGAGCACGCCCATCATCTTGTGAGGGTTCCAGGTGACTGAGTTGGCCCTGAAAGAAGCACATGATGCACTCTGAAGAGAAGGTGCAGGAGTCAGCGAGAGGCAACTGTCCTCTTGAGGAAAACGCCACCTGTTGCAACTGGAGTCGGTATATACGTTTTCGATGCCTACTCCCCCAGATTGGCTAATCAAACAGTAAACAAATATTTTGCAGGCAGTCTCGGGGTCCTACGTTGCAGACTGCCTCTTCTAAATAACCGCTATTAATAATAGCTAACATTCATGAAGAGCGTTTATTATGTGTCCTATTGTTCTGAGAGCTTTACAGGCATTATATCAGTATGGTATGGTGGTTGGGAACTCAGGCTTTGGAGCCGGACTGTCCAAGCCTGAATCCTGGCTTTGACATTGGCGAGTTTGGGCAAGTAACCTAACTCCTCTGTGCCTCAGTGTTCCCATCAGTAAAATGGGGGGGGGGAATAGTGTCTCCCTCCCAGAAGTTCATAAAGGATAAATGAGTAGACACATACAAAACGCTAACAACCACTCCTGGAATATCTAATTCTCACAACAACCCTATGATGTAGGGTTTTACATGGAGAAACCGAGGCATGAAAGGGTTAAATGCATCACCCAAAGTCAAACAGCCGGGCAGTGCCAGAGCCAAGATTCAAGTCCAGGGAGTCGGACTGCAGAGCCAGCGCTCATAACCCTTCCACCAGCCTGCCTCCCTCTTGGCAGCAGACCCTGGCTTCCCTCTGCCTTCCTGTCCTTATTTATCAAATGGGCTGGCGATGAGGAAGCATGAAGAGTGACACCTAAAAGCAGGGATCACTTGGATAACTCTAGATTTTGACTCCTTAGCAGCATTGCTGAAGTGCCAAATGAGCAGGATCTTGCCAGTGTAGGTTGCAATGATGGCTGAACAAGCAGGGTTTCCTAGCAACCTCATCAGTCGTTCAGACACAATAAAATGGTTAAGGAGCACGCTGGCTAAGCCATTCCAGAGACAACTAAGTCGAGTGCCTGATGACTAAAACGGGGTAACTTGCTTCAGTGGTTTACAGACTCCTTCCCAATGGCCTGGTCCACAGCCTGGCCCCACTTTCATACCTGTGAAGGATATTTTCCCCAGATACAGCTCTGAATTATACTGCCTCTGTTCTCCCTAGAGCTAAATCCTTGCTGTGAATTTTTAACCTCTTCATCTTGGTGAGGTCCTCTAGATGGAGAAGTAAGCCTGAAGTACTTTTCGCCTTTGCACATAGTACGATAACCTTTGTGAAAGAGACCTGTGAAGAATTCTTTAAAAAGGTGACTAAATGTTTATCACAGTAAAAATCATCAGTGTCGGGCCATATTTAAAAGGTAGTGGATTTAATCAATTTTCTCATAGCTCTCATTCACTGAGTCATTAAATTTTTTTTTTAAATATTTTTAAAAAGATTTTATTTATTTATCTGAGAGAGAGAATGAGAGAGAGCGCGCGCGCACAAGAGTGGGGAGCGGGAGAGGGAGAAGCAGACTCCCCGCTGAGCAGGGAGCCCAATGCGGGACTCGATCCCGGGACTCCAGGATCATGACCTGAACCGAAGGCAGTTGCTTAACCAACTGAGCCACCCAGGTGCCCTAAAATTTTTTATTTAGATCTCATAAAATGTCTTAAATGGTTTTTTGAATGTCTTAGAGGTCGGAAGTAAATGGTTCTTTGCTGTTCCAAGTATAAAGTAACAAGACATGATATGGATTCAATTTCTTTTAGAAGACGTATGTGCTTTAAAATGTTAGAAAGATCTGTGCAAAATGTTTCAGGTTTTCCTGGACTCAAAGATGGAAAATGGAAATTGCCTGAGAAATCTAAAGTTGAGTTTGACTGGCTCATCTACATTTAGTATATTATCCTCCAAGTCACAGGGTCGTATAATTATGCTTCAAAGAGTCCGTCCTACTCACCTGACCCTGGCCTTCCAAAACTGAAGGGAAGAGGCACAGTAGAGGTAACTGAAACTCAAGCCAGAGTCCTTGCTGTGAGAGAAGCCACTGGTGGGTTTTCCCTGCTCCCAGCCCACCTCTCCACTTCACTCTGCTCTCACCTCTTCTACTTTGCTCCAGCCACACTGGCCTCTTTGATGGTCCTCCAATTTGCCAAGAACAGTCCTACCCCAGGGCCTTCATACTTGCCCTTCCACCACCTGGAATACTCTTTTATGTATCCTTGCTTCCTGTCTCCCTTTATCCCAGTATCCACTGCAATGTCACATCCTCAGGAAGGCCTCTGACTACCCTGTCTCAAATGGCATGCCTTTGTCCTTACTACCCTCCTTTATTTTTCTTTACTATGAGGCAGACTGAATATCTCCTTGTTTATGAACAGCTAGCTCACTGGATGGTAAGCTTCAGGAAGGTAAATCTCTTAGTTGATAACACCTTCTAGATACTGCCTTATTTTTCCTACGTGTACCAGATACACATTTTTTTTAGAAAAGTGCCATAGATGGCTAGACTGAAGGCAGGTAACTGAGTATTCATATCCATGCCTGCCTGGCTCATGACTGGTGCTCAGTAATATTTGCTTAATGAATAAATGAATCGAAGTGAGCTCGTTTTGGATAAAATCTTTGGAGTCAGGTTAAAATCATGTTTAGTTTATGACTACATTCTCTCTGATCAGAAGCTTCTGTTCCTGACACGAAATGTGCCAGGTTAGCAAGTGAACACAAGAAATGGTTCTAATTCTAGCTGGTGGGGTAGGGACCTGGTTCTCCTAGGTCAAGGTAGGGGTGTCCTGGCGGCAGTGAATGACTTGGGAAAAGCCCAGATGGGTTTCGATGCCTCAGTGCTCCTCTGGGTAATCTTCTTTGCCTCTTCAGCCCCTGTAGGTGACAGGAGAGGGGACTGCCATTTGCAATGGGTGCAAGATCCAAACATGCCAAAGGCTTTGACCGCCAACCAAATAAACTCAGTGATTGAGAAGAACAGGGAACAAAGGGGGGGCTTCAGTTTGGGAGCTTGTGCAGAAATGGCTCTGATACTGGGCCAGAAAAAATAAAAAGTAGAATGGGTTAGGGAAAAAAAATCATATTTAGCTTAGAACCACCCACTGAACTTAAATGGTGAGCAAGAAAATAAATTAGTTAGATCAACTGATCAACTGAGTTAGATCAACTACATTAGTTAGAACTACCCCACTCTCAGCAGTAAATTTAATGAGCGAGAAGAGTGGACCGAATCCGGGCCCCTTTCTGTGCCCTTGGCAAACTCTCCCTTAGCCTCTAGAGCCCTGCACTGCTTACTTTCTCTTCTCTACCAGCTGGCCACCTAGCAATCACGTCTGCCGTGCTTACCACATTGTGTTGTCACTGTTTACTTATCTTTCTCTCTTTCTAAATGGTGAACTCACTGAGGACTTGTTTGACTGGGAATCATTTTTGATTTCCCACGGCCTAGCATACAATAATTGCTCAGTAAATGCCTACTGAACTAAGGTGGACCTAGTCCGATGGAAGTAAGATGTTGGGAATCAGGGTGGGGAACATCAGCGGACGGGGTGGCCCAGCATGTCTGACGGCCTGGATGAAAGGCGGCCCTGAGTTCAGGCCCTTACCTTTCTATGCCACTGAGTTTGTGGCGATGCTTCCTGGACATGAGCAGCCCGCCGCCCCAGGCAGCCTGTGAGGACAGAGACAGGGGAGGGAGGGGGAGCAGTGACATTTAAGACTCACAAACCAATCACTCCACACCTCTAGTAAAATATGAAAGAGAACGTAAATGGTGAAAAGCATGAGTTTGTTTGACAAAAGGAACCCACAACTGATTGTTCAACCAGCGGCAGTTGTAATTATTTATCATCTGTCACTTCTTCGTCAAAAGTTCCTCCAGGTTAACCGCAGAGGGGCTGTGCGAATGATACAGATAAATCGGGTCTGAGCCTGGGGTGCCAAGACCCAAAGGCCCAGCATCCTGTGGAAAGCCAAGGACGCTCAGTGAGCCCCACCATGGCTCTGGAAGTGACCCAAAGGACTGGAGCCTGCCATCCAATTCTCCCTAGGGTAGAATTCTAAGGGCTCCTGAAAAAAAAGTCAGAAAGCAGCAACTCTGCCAGGCTCGGAGGTCCCACAACAGGGAGACATTTTTGTGGGTACGCTGATGCATGTTTACTGAACGGCTTGGGACACCACATGCCACAACAGCAGCCTTTGTTGGTCACGTGCTCAACAGTCGGGCAAATTACCCAACTGTCCAGTTGTGAGAAGTTACACCCGTAAGAGAATGGAGAGAGAAAAAGGAAAAAATACACCCAGTCTCACATGTGGAAAATGTACCTTTTATGTTCCTAGGAAAATTTGGGACTAAATCTCTTTGTTGATAACACCTTCCTATAGGGCCATATTTTTCCTACATGCAGACACGTGGGTTTTTTTTTTTTTAAAGGGTCATAGATGGCTAGACTGAAGGCAGGCAGCTGAGTGTCTGGATTCACGGCTACTTTCTCTATGTTGTAGCTTATACTTTTTTTCCCTCCGAAACCGGCTATATTCCACTCTGTAGCCATTTGTCTAGACACAAGCTTCCTGGAAAGGTGAGGGGGACTGTAGTCTCACAAGGACCGCAGAAGACAGCGGTGGGCCAGGGAGGAGCCGGATGAGTCCTAGATGATGTACAGGCCTGTAGTATGTACCCATCATGAATGGCCGGCTGGAGGCCACAGGAGGGCGAGCTGATGGGACGTAGAGAGAGGGCTGGCTGGGGCATGGGGAGAAGCTTGCAGCAAATTGTAAAGCACAGCGGTTTCCACCCCCTAACGGACTGGTTACACTGTGAGTGATAGCACTTACATCGACATGTAGCCATAGGTTATATTTCTCACATATATCTGCAATCTCCTGTATTGGATCAAAAGCTCCATACACCGTCGTACCAGCAGTTGCATTGACATAGAGAGGAACAAATCCCTACAAGGGAAGAAAGACAGGCTGATGAGTCTTTTTAACCCTCTCCTTTCCACATGAAGTAGAAGAGCTGCAATAGCCTTTCTTTCTAACAGAGATCAGCTAAGCCGATGTGCTGTCAGATACGGTATCTGGGAGAATTCTTTGTTGGTCCATTTACTCATTCGTTCAACAAATAGCTTTTGAGCAACATTTACATGCCAGGCCCTGTTTGCTGAGCTGTAGAGGACTACGGCAGTGAGCACAACAGATGGAGATTTCTGTCCTCATGGAGCTAACATTCTAGTGGGGAGTGACAGACAACAAACAAAATTAAAGCAGCAAAATACACAGTACGTTCAACAGCGGTAAGTTCTATGGCAAAGAGGAAAGCAGGAAAGAGTAATAATAAGTGTTTGAAGTGATGGGCGGATAGCTCTGAACATCATCTGGGTATTATACATTTTAGAAGCTGTGTTGCTCTAAGGGTATTGATGTAATAATTATACTGAGGCATTGTTTGGTTATTTAAAACACAGTGGAAGCTGAAACATTCACGAATAGTCGACACAGTAAAATTTTCACGTGAACGAGAAATACATGAGTGAGTGGAGTAATAGGGCTAAGACAGGCTTGGGAGAATCTAGGAGTCCTAGGTTTTTTTCAAGCTCAGCTCCACCCATGCCCGTTGCTCAATCCTAGTGACATTTCCATCCATCTCCTCTACTGACCAGCAAACAGCTAAGGCTAGAGAATGAGGTACAAGGATGTAACCAAAACAACGAGTTGGTAAATGCCTGATAGCTACCTGGCAGCGCCTTGTGGATACATCTGTTCTGTCAGGTTTTTGTTGTTGTTGTTTAATAGAATTTATTGAGGCTAGATTCACCAAGTACCATGGGCCATCTGCCAAGGCATGGAAGCACTCTGCTAAACAGAAGCCTAAGCTAAAATGGTATTTGTTAAAATGAGATTATACCTAACAAGTAGCAAGTAAAAAGCTCAATTAGGCTGTATCTTCATGATGATTGGGTAGTGGATTTACTGAAGTACATCAAACTAATCACTTGGCATAATAAAGATAGGACAAGTGGCTTAATTAAGACTGAGTTTCTCATTTAAAAAAAAATGACGTTGTATAGACACAGGTTGAAAGTGGAATCATCTCAAATTGGAAATAAGCAAATACCTGACATTATAATTTTAGAAACACAATAAAATTACCTCTTATATTATCAAAGACTTTTATTGTCTAGGGCAGAAAGAAGATATTTTTAAAAATTTGTATTCACCAGAGTTTTGGTGCACCACATAGTACATACCTTTTGCTTGGCATCAAGAATTTTTGCCTCTAAATCAGCTGGAATTATCTTCCCTCTATAATTATTTAAAAGGAAGAGAAATTAAAATGAAGAATCAATGAGATTGCACATGAAAGAAACTTCAGCAGCAGCAAAAAGTAATTTAATCGGATATTTTCAACAGACCATTAGCAGCTTGGCACACTGTACTGAGTCAGTGCTTAAGCACAATAAAACAAATTTAACAGATGAACACATTTAATACATCAAGAACCTAATATTCACTCTCCCCTGCCTACCTTTCATTGCACTTTATCAAAATCACATTGTCAGTTCCAAAGCCAAGTGCGGCTCCAGCCTTCTTTATGGAATAGTGACTCTGCAACAAACAGAGGATTGAGGTTAGAGATTAGACAGTCCCTTGTAAAACACCATAATCCACAAGCAAGAGCACCCAACTCACGTGTTCTGAGGTGAAGAGGACCAGTTTGGGAATGGCCGCCATGCCCTTTGTCTTAACTTCTGGGAAGAACTTGTAGCGAGCGGCCATGATGCTGTACATGTTGGAGATGGCTCCCCCTATGAGCAAGCGGATACACTGGGAAGTATGAAGCTCCATCATTATTGTTTCTAGTAACGAAGACTGAGCTGGTGTCTTAAGAGACAAGGGAGGCAGAAAGGGGAGGGACAGTATCCTGATAGGCTTTGCTGGCTTCCCTACTGCCAGGCTTCCCTCTGGTCCTTGGGAATACGAGTAGTCACACTCATTACCAAAGCCATCTGGGCAATTTGGCTGGAGGTGATTCATGTACTCCAAGGCCCATTCCACCTGAAGCCTAGACAGAGATATAAGAGGTGGCAATGGCAGTGACTGCAAAGGGACAGGTGAGTTACCACTTTCCTGCTTTGCCATCCTGCTCCGTCTATTTACCGAACAAAGATGAATCTATTCTCTGAGTCAGAAAGACAGAAAAAGGGAGAGTAATGGAGCCTACAGAAGGAAACAGTGACATTGCCTGGATACTGTCCTCAAAGAATATTGAGTCATTTGGGAGAGCTCTAAGTTTATTAAAATCAAACTAAACTTGTGTTTACTTAAATAAAGATCACAAGGAGAATGGAGGTAACTAGATATGTCTGGCAATTCCTTGACAATTAAACAGGCAAATTCACGGCCAACTTGAATTGCCTGGACAATTGTAATTCTTATTTCTTTTCTTCCCCTTGTACACAATCATGCTGCTCTGACACCACCCCACAGTGCTTCTTACCTTCAAGAATATCTGTCCTTGTTTTGAAGATTCTTACTGTATTTACATCAAACTAAAGAGTCAAAGTAGATACACTATTTTGGCTGAAATTGGTCAGTCAGTTGATAATGTTGATTCACTGATTCCCAGACTAAGCAAATTGTTCTTGACGGACTAGTTGTTTAGCATGATTTGAACACAACCTTTGTCAGCTTTTACAGCTGAGGCACAAGCTCTGTTAGATAGTGCACACAGTATGCAGTATTCTTGCTAGCCTTCGCCCTGACAAAGACAGGGCAGGAGTATTGAAAAAAATATCTTTTAAGGTCGGTATTCTTTCACAAACTCACTTTATGTTTAGTGTTCTACAAATCTTGAGGAGAGTCAGGGAAAGAGAAGAGAAACATACCAGGAGAAAATATCCCATCACCGTCTTTACTGGACCATCCAACTATCTCTCTCATCTTCTTGAGTGTTATTTGCTCCATGAGGACAAATACTGGTGCAATTTCATATGTAAACCTGAAAAGGTGGTGAGAAAAAAAATGAACATACAGAAGTCATACCACTTGTTTGGGGAACACAGATGATAGGTTTAGTACTTGTACTTGGGTTCTAAAAAAAGGTGTATTCAAAACCCCTAAAACATTTATTTCCTGGAAATGCAGTAAGTCACCAATCATAAAATATCAGAAACCAGCCGGGGTTACCTAGAGAGGTGGTGGAAGTGCCTGCTCTGTGCTTTCTCATCAACAAAATAGATTTTTATCTGAATGGAATGTCTTAGATGTGGTCCACCCAGAAAAATAGAAGGAAAGAAAATGACTTTCCTGGGTCTCCTTCACCTCTAAGATCTAAGATGAGGCAAATGTTAATTGAAAAAATGTATTCTAAGATCTACATAAAATTGGTTTGCAACTGACCGAAACCGACTGCCAGTTTCATACTTGTAGAATCTATAAAACCCAGAGCCAAAATCTATCTTTTAAAAACAATGTAAACATCTGAACGCTAACTGTGAATCTAATTGGAAATATTGACCCAGGTTTTAAAGATCTCAATATAATTATCTACATGGTTTTTCTACTGATAATCCCCAAGGACAGCTATGTTTCTATAATTTCTGAAGTCAGTACCGTCAAGAATAATTATAAGTGATGATTTTCTAATTACCAATTATAAATAATAAGAAGATAGTCAACTGGCATACACAGCTAACTGCAGGCTATCAGATATCCTGGTAGGCTAGTTTTGTCTTCTAACAAACCGATTTAGAAGTAGCAAGCCATACTCTTCTCAAAGCAATTGAGAACAGAAGCACGGTCAAATAGACTAGTCATTGAAACAAGATTGTGTTACCAAGGATAGGGCTTAAGAGAATTCAAAGAAGGCCCATCCATAGAAAATTAAGCCAGAAAACAAAAAGATATTTACTGACTCTGAGGCTCTTTGTCTTTCTGCTTTTTGTTTGGTCTTCTTAAACATTAAAGCCAGTGGGCTCGGCTCAGACCATGCTTGCTGAAGAGAGATTCCTAGATTGACTCAGCCAAGTGATATGGGGAGACTTTACCATTGATTAGGGTGTTTGGGCTGAACACCAATGCTGAGGACTAATGGGAATTCTTGCTGGCTTAATGATTTAGAAAAGCTATTTGCAAGGATGAGGTAACAATTGTACAATAAGACACAGGTGAAGCTACTAAGTTTTAACCATGGAGTTGGGGGGAAGCCATCAAATTAATCACTTGGTGGTAAAAGAGGACAAAGAGATCCTGGAGGACACTCAGGATATATCCGTTGGTAGAAGAATTTTGTTTCCAAAAAGAATATGTCCATTTTCCTTGGGAGGACCCTTGAAATTTAGGAGGAAGACCCTTGGAAATCATGTGTTCAGTTACCATCACCTCTGGAGGTCACAATCATGCTTTGGTTCTGCTCTGAGCCCCATCACCGTAGCAACCAACACTCCCTCATGTCTGATGGCCTGATAAAGGAAGAAGAAGAGAAGGATTCCTGGTTTAGCCTGTGCTGCTGAGTGCACCCAAGAGGCAAACTCATGATGTGCTTCCAACCATTCTTGAACAAACGTGGTATCAACAGTGCCACTGAGTTTTGGAAATGTTGGAATGGCAAAAATGTTTGCATGGTGGAGGTACTGGTGGCGTGTGTGCTGGAATTTCCCTGGGAAAAGGCAAGGAACAAATGGAATCACACACCATAATATCAGAACCTTATCACGGATTAGATGAAAGCTGAGTGGGAGTCAAGTCCGTGTTAGATGGCCAGGCAGGAACCACATGGGGAAGGGAGAAGGGATGGCACTGAAGGCCAGGGGGTTGGTCCACCTCATGATTTAAATCAATTTAGATCCTAGGTTTGTATGAATTAGTGATTCCACGTAAGGACCAGGAACATGGCCACTACTCTCAGGATTAGGCGGAAGAGTCTAGAGAGTTTGACCATGAGACTATTTGATCTCATCTGTTTCAGTTTTCTTATCTGTACCAGGTACTCAGTTCCTAAATTTGTCTCTCAGTTTTGTTCAATAAATACATATTGAGTGACTATTCTCTGCTAGGTGGCATCTTACGTACTGAGGAGACGAAGATGTTATGGCACCATTCCCAGCCTTGAGGAGGAAACTTACTAGGATGAGTCCAGCATCTGCTTCTTGGCCTTGCAGCATCCTGTTTGACAGTCCCTGCTGGGGTCTGAAGGATCAGTTATCCCATAGCTAACACCAAGCTTATTCTGATCCACGGCTTTAGTCCTGACATCCTCTTCTGGAAGCTGATAGATTGGTCCATGGCTGTTGATCCTCAGCCAAGCCTGACAAATGGGCTAACATAGCGTTCTCTGTTTCTGACACTTTTCTTATCCTTCCTTCCCATCCTGGACCATGTTAACAACTGGGAGTCTGCCTATACCCAAAGCCTTACAGAAGGCCTTGAAGTTCACCCTAGAGCAGTGGTTTTTAATTGGGGTCATGGAAGCCTCTGGGAATCCTAGGAAAGCTCTGGTCCCTCTCTCCAGGAAGAAAATGAGGATATGGACATCATTTTTGTATTATAGGAGATTCTTTTCTTGCAACCTGAACTCCAAGTTAGGTACCCTTTCCCTAAATGACAGATAAAAGTAAATAAAGCCAAGAGATCAAAGGTCAAATACGGATTCAAAAGAAGCTGGTTAGATGCTAAAGCCAGAGTACAAGATGACATTTCAGAATCAGAGAACAAGAAGTTAAAACTGTAAAAGGCTGTGGGGTGAAGTTAAGAACATGGGATTGGAAGTAAGGGCTCAAAACAGGATGGTGATGATCATGAGTGACTCTCTAAAGGAGAGTTCAGAGACTTTCTATGTTCTGAGTAGGGTAGTGGGTCTGCCCTTTTTAGTGGTTCAACTCAACTTCTTAGTGGGATTCACTCCAAACTAAGGCAAATCGTTAAGAAGCTGTATTTCTCTTGTGGCAAAGTTTGCTGGTTGCTAACCAGTATCAATTTTCCCTTGCTTCATTCAGGGTTGCAATTCACCTAGATCAAAGACTACATTTTCTAGCCTCCCTAGGTGTGGCCATGGGACTAAGTTCTGGCTAAAGAGATGCTATGGGAACTGTTGTGTGGAACTTCTGAAAAGGTTTCTTAGAAGGAAAGAGTGTGTTCCCTTTTTGAGCGCTTGCCCTCCCTCCCTCCTCTCCTTTCTTTCCTCCATCTCCCTCCCTCCCTCCCTCCCTCCCTCCCTTCCTTCCTTCCTCCCTCTCTCCCTCCTTCCCTCCCTCCCTCCTAATTCTGGAACACATAAGTGATGGCTAGAGCTCCAGCAGCCAGCCTGCACCATGAGGTGACTCTGAGTATGAGAGCCATGTGCTATAGTATGGATTGGAAAGTCACAAGGAACCTGGATCCCTGGTGACTGTCAAACTGGGATCTTCTTTAATCAGAAAAAGAAATAGTTTTCTATGTGGACTCTCTAACTATACACTCCTCTTAGATTTCTCCTTCTTACAGATGTGGCAGGTGGCCCATCTTCACCTTAAAAGATAACATGTCTGAGGGGAAACTTAGTGAGGCTCTCTGGTTTCCAGAGATAATGACATACAGAAACAAAAGAGCTGGGAGGCATCTCAAATGGCGACAGTGACCTGTGTGGTGGCTGCCCCTCCTAGGTGTGTTCATTGCACCTTGCATACACTGGGCACTTAAGACTGGCGCCTTCTCCAGTCTTCAGAGCCGCTCTATAGGATGGATATTATTATCTCTCATTTTCTGAAGGAGGAACTGAGGCTCAAAGAAATCCAGTGATTTGCTTTAAGATCTCAGTATGTTTCAGAGTCAGAATTCCCAGGCTTTTTACCTCCCAGATGCTTTTCTATGACAAACGAGATCTGCTTACTGCAGGTTCCTCTCTAACAACCTGCCTAGCAGTACAAAATGACTGATAACTCCCACAGAAAATTTCTCCTGTGTAATTTCTCTGAAAAATAAAGCACGGGATACTTGAAACCATAACCTCATAACAAAGGGCTGTGATAGATCTTGCCATTGAGATTATGTATTGTCATTAGGTGCTTGAGGGAAGGCTGTTGTTTGCACTTGGGCACTGCTCAGCCTGCACAGTTGTGCTCAGGAGCCCTGTTTTGGAAGAAAAGAGCTGGACATGCCATGAACAACTACATATTTGTGAAGTCTTCTTTGGGTCTTCACTGGGTCCTTGCTTGGAAGAATAGATCTCAAAGCTATATGCACAGGCAGGTGTAAAAGCATGAACATCAACGTTCTTTCTACTTTCTGTGAGCAGTCAGATCCCTTAAACTTTGCTACTTGAATTGGGGGCCTGGATAGTTCTTTCTGAAAGACTATACTGAGGAATATAGTTGTTACTATTTCCAGTGCCACCCAAATGCAATGATAGTGCAGGTCATCAACATGAGTATGTCACTAATTAAATCCTACTCTGCCAAAGACAAATCCTTTTGTCATTCTTTCCCAGGTTTATTTTGAACACTGTCCCCAGTTGGAGAAGAAACTGTCCCGAGGGAGCAAATTTCTGCATCAGCTTCTGACAGTGCTGCCACATTTCATGATCTTCCAGGGGAACGGACTTAGAACAATTTCTAGATAATAGTTATTACTTCTTCAGACAATGCCTTGTCTCTAGAACTGACAGAAACTATTTCACTATTTTAAATAACCTTCTCTATCGATCTGCTGGAATTGGGTCATATTTTATAAATATCCACTGTGTTCAGTACAGCTGCAATTACTATGTGCCATTTAGTTGGACTGGCCTTGACCTCAGATGGCTGGGACATATTTTAGTGTTTCATGGCTGAGCTGAGGTAAGGAAAGAGTAAGGGTCTTGATTTTATGAACACACACAAAAAGGAGAATTTGTGAGATCTCTCTGATTGAAGAAAAGCCTTTTAGGAGAATATCTGGTCATGAATGGTTCAAAAGAGTGAGTTCCTTTTATTTACCTTGAGATTGGGATATATGCACTTAAAGACGCTGGGTGAATTCAGAGCCTATGTTAATATGAGTACTTGGGCTTTAATGGATATATACCTTTCACTCTACTTTTCTCATTAAAAAGTTGTACTTCCCAATTTAAAATTGTTCCTTAGTGTGAGATGCTCCAATTAAGCATTAGTGTCTTTTTTCAAGTTATAATTAGTACATTATGATGTCTGGGCTTGCTGATATATTTTATCTCACAAATCATACCACAGTAAAGGTTGCAAAGGCAAGTTTTTTGTTAGAGGAGGCCATATGAGCACTTGTATCTTTAACCCCAATTCCTCTTGGCTCTTTATAGCCTCAGTGCTCCAACACAGACACTCCATGAAGTTAACCATGACTTGCAAACAGGGAGCATGAAAATCATTTTTGTTTCCAATTAATTTAATCTTTTGTGCCTTTTAGCACCAAAGGCTTCACTTGTCACATTTGCTTTTAAAAAATTTGTCACTGTTGTTTTAAGTTAGCAAACAAAGCAGGAATCCTTAATTAATAGAAACTTTTCTTTCTTTCTTTTTTTTTTTTTTTAAGATTTTCTTTATTTATTTGAGATAGAGAGAGAGAGCACAAGCTGGGGAACAGAGGGAGAGGGAGAGGCAAGCTCCCCACTGAGCAGGGAGCCAGATGCGGGCTCGATCCCAGGACCCTGGGATCATGACGTGAGCCAAAGGCAGATGCTTAACCAACTGAGCCACCCAGGTGCCCCAGTAGAAACTTTTCTGAATGTAGTTAGATATTTTGAGTCACAGCATTAAATAGCTTTGGCACACACATGTATCAATGTATAATTTTTAAAGAAGATTTATTTATTTATTTGAGAGAGAGAATGAGAACTCACAGGAGGGGCAGGTGTAGGGTAGAGGGAGAGGGAAAGTCTTAAGGAGACTCTGTGTTGAGTGTGGAATCCTACTTGAGGCTTGATCTCACAACCCTGAGATCACAACCTGAGCCGAAACCAAGAGTCGGATGCTTAACCAACTGTGTTACCCAGCCACCCCAATGTATAATTTAAAGTGACTTTTCAGGTTTTGTGGCTGGTAGTAGCTTGTTTAAGAAAAATAGAATACCTGGAACTTCAATAACTTACATTCTATCTTGATATCAAATGGAATTTCTCATTTTAAAAAATATCCCCCTTTCACCTAAATTTGTTTTTCAAATCTACTTTACCATGAACTTAAAAAGTGGATGGTTATTTTCTAAGTATTTCCACAGTAACTAAAACTTATATAATTCTTATGTAGCTATTTAAAGAATTATTGTTAGAAACTTGTTTTATTATTTTCCCCTGGATACTTTAGTAGAATGTGGTTCCATGGGCTGGGTGTATAGATAATCCTAAAATATTATCACAGTGTTGAGAGAAAAGACAGTACTCAGTAGGCTATAATGACCCTCCATCAACTTGTAACCCGTCCTTGTCTCCAAAGAGGGCATGTGTATGTAGAGGAAATTCTGGGGTGATTGCAAGACTACCCAGGAAGTACTTGCACCCCAGGACCTTAGAGTCACTTTCATATAAATGTATAAGAAATTGGAAATGAATGAAGGCTTTGTCAACCCTAACAAGTATGGAAAAAAATGTCAAATTTAGAAAAACAATGAGTTACTTTGAAAGGAATATATATCACTATCAGTTGAATTTTGTTTTAGAATTTTTAGGTAAGCAATAGGTTGATCAAACTGGTTTGTGGCTCTCTGGCAGCTTTAACTGTGAAGGAAATATAGCCCTAAATGATGAGGACCAATCTACTTAGATAGGAAAACGGACCAAGATCATATTCCAAAATATGGAATGGACCACTTTAGATACATCATTAAGGGACATGGAGTCTTTTAACATGAAATTTCACACTAAATTCTGAAAGCTAGAATTATTCTTTCTCATGACCATGTTCTTATTAAATTGCATTATTCATTAAAAATAGCTTATTGAGTATTTACTATTATTTTTTAAAAAAGATTTTATTTATTTATTTGACAGAGAGACACAGCAAGAGAGGGAACACAAGCAGAGGGAGTGGGAGAGGGAGAAGCAGGC